CCATTGATCTGACCCATATAAATGGGTTGAAAATAAATTGTACTATCTGCTCTATTTGTCCCCAAAGTCAAATTTACCTAAGACATAATACAAATAGTTCTATTCAATTGCACTGAACAATTTCTTGGCTAATAAAACTGTTGCTATTGGTTCTAATTTTCTCTTTGTAGTCCAGATGTGTCGCAATAGTCTATGCAGATTATCTGATGCTTATCTCCCAGGCATGAAGCTCTCTCAGATAAAGATCTATTAGATTTATGATTAGTCCTGTACTAAATGTTCAGGTAGCTATTGTTTTATAACTACCCATACTGTATGAAACAAAAATTTTCACAATACTGCTAAGGGAGCAATAGTAATCTGGAGCATAAGGCTGATGGCTGTATGTAATACAATAAAGAACTGTAGGCCACCTTGATTCTAAACCACAGACAATATCTGATGCTTTAAAAATTCAGTACAAACCATTTAAATGCATTACATTTATTCATAGTCTATTTCTGAAACTAGTGGCTGTTCAGTGGGCCGATGGCAGAGAGAAGTTAATGCGTTGGTAAGCAACCTAAATTTTTACAAAGCTATTTTGAAAGTAACTCAATGCCACAGAAAGTAATATCAATTACTCCTTGCTTTTCAATTGACATTGCAAGGCTGGTCTACATTTCCATTCTTCAGTTCAGCATCTGCAAAGGAAAGGAAGGCATAGAACACCTCCATGGAAGATTTCTGGGCACTACAATCACAAAACACACTTCTTTAGAACAAGCCCTGAAATATTTCAAAGGTTGTTTGTCCCTACCCCCCCAAGTGTTGATCAATAGTTTGATGCCCTGGGACCAGAGAATTGCATAAAAGTAGAAAACCAAACAATAGCAAATAGAGGTAAAGCCAGCTGACAATCCTGAGTGTTCCTATAACCTACACTCTGAGAGATGGCACAAGGTAGGGAGAAGGCCGTGGTTTTGGAGCCTCTGCTAATCTTGGCCCCACTCTACTTACCAGTGTGGCCATGGCAAGCTACGAACAACATTCAGCTTTGGTTTTTTCATTCATAAAAGAGGGTTATAATACTCCTGGAGTTGTTTCAAAGATCCAAAAAAGACAATATATGTAAAAATAATCAAATATTTAATACTTGGTAAATGTTAGTGTTCATTATAATAACTGCTAATAAAAATGATATAATATATGTATGTATATATAAAACACATATGTGTGTGTATATGTGTGTGTGTGCGTGTGCATTTTTTAGTAGTTATTGGAAGGACAAATCCAATGACACAACATTCACATTAAGTTTCATGGCATTATAGTGAGCAAATTATGATATTCAACAAAGTGCTCTGTAAAAATCTGCTTTGTGACTAATATAGAAAAGAATCCCACCTTTTAAACCTATAGTATCTGAGCACAGAATTTGAAATGGAAAATATAAACCAACAAACAGAAACCAGAAAAAAAAAGTTTTCCCATCATTTATTTTCTGTTAATTCAAATTCTTCATTGAGTACAAGAGATCTAGCATTATTTTAAACATATTAATTAGATATAAAGAAAAAAATGGTCGATAGAATGACAGTACAGAAAAAATATTCTTCCTAGGATTTCCCAGTAACATAAACACAGCTACAAACACTTACAAAACAAAAATAGTTAATGAGCAAATAGTATCTAGTTTAAATGCATAGAATGTAATGACCAATTCAGAAGTATTCAGCTTCAGCAGAATTGTGTACTTCTACAATAAAAAAGGTGTTGTTGTTTTTTTTTAAAAAAAGAACCAAACCAGCTAATTTCCAAATAGATACAATCATTTAAAGTATGCTCCATATTATTCTTAAGAGTTGGGAAAATATTTTGGGCTCTGAGTGAAGCAATTTCTACAGGAAACACATGATCCTGAAGCTAAAACCCTAAGTACATACGAAAAAATGTATACAATATTCCCAAGATATAGATAAATAAGAGAGCCACTTAGTAAATGGGACTGGGTTTTGGTACTAGTATAATCCACTCTCATTAGGCATCTCCCTCTTGAGCATTAATATGTGACATCATATTCTCATATAACATTTTATAACAGAGTGAAATAAAAAGCCCCTCCAGATTGCAACTGTAAGATAATCAGATTCTGTAGTACTCATTATGACTGCAATTATGTAACAAAACTCTCCAAATATAGTTCAGTTATTGCAGCTATTAATCATTCTGGTTTTGTTTCAAGTACTTGCTTTATGGCCTGCTGGATAGACTCCATTATTCCACAAGCTGAATGTCGAAAGTCAAACATGTGCATGTGAATCTGCTGTTTTAAAGGGCTTTCAACATAATTTACCCTTTCAATTTGTATTTGTGAATACAAAAAAAGTGGGAGAAATAAACTTTGTGTCAATAGAGTCACTGACCTTTGCAGTAAACAGAAGATAGTCCTTAACAGAAAACAACTTCACAAATAAGAAACCTATTTTTCTAGAACTAGAAATAGTACTGCTTAAGAAGTTAGTCTCAGAATACAAATCAGTTCCTACAAAAAAAGGGGGAGGGAATTGAAAGAATCTGTACATTTGATAAGGAGGAAAACAATAAGCGTGCCGGAAAAGATTCAAAGCACCAACATCATGAATAGAAGGTAGTTCTAAACATTTATGCATAAAACCACAAATTCTGATTAATTTAACAATAAAATGCCAAGTAAAAGACAGCAGATTTATTATACAGAACAAACACCATCTGCACCACCTTAAATCATTGCTACAGATATATTTCTAGGAAAAAATACACCTGAAAAACTTTCAAGCCTAGCTTCTGATATGCTAAGGTACTAACTAAATAGGATTCCAAATAGACTCGTGAAAAGTGACTGCATAATTATTTAAATATTAGCATGTACAGCACTCAGAAAAGTAAATATAATAATATCAATTCATTAACATGGTTTACAAAATTCATGTCACCATATTCCTGTGCTCCATGATTTTTTTAATTTGGCCACATACATTGGGCCCCAGGCTTTGCCCTTATCTGGAATCACCAAGAGCCCACATTCCTGGCCAGTGGGGGCGAAGGTGAAGTCTTGGGAGCAAGTCCTTGCTATTCCCTTAATGTCCATGGGCATGATGTTACTGTGAGAGTTTAAAATATCACTGATCACGTCTTGATTTTCCGCCTGGGAAAGGGTGCACGTAGAGTACACAAGGACTCCTCCGGGACGTAAAGCCTTAATTGCAGACCTGAGTGTAACAGGAAAATGCAGAATACCAGTTAGGTACATTAAAAGAAAACTAGGCAGTCTGAGAGCAAGGAGGATCATATACTTGAAACTAACTGACTCAGACTGCAATAACTTTAGATGTTCTCCTTATTCCTGGATGACTGAGAAAATGGTAATTAGTTCAATCAATATTGATAAAATAGAGAAGGTGAGCTTGACTGGTTTAGTTCTCTTGACGGTAGAAGGACTAAGGTAGAGCACGGCACAAAGGTATTCTTTGAATCAATAGGAATAAAAGCAAAAAGAAGATATTAATACAAAGCACATTCAAGAAATCACGGATTCCATGCAAGTTGGCCAATTAGGTAAAAAGTTTGAAGGGTTTTAGCTAAGTAGAGTCGTGAGTTCCAAATCCTGGGAAGAAGCTATTTGAAGTGAATTCTAGCTGCAGCCAACTCATCAAATAAACATATATGGAATGAATACAGAAATGCACAGGTACCTGATGTTTCAGAAATTATATCTCTAGAAAAAAATGAGGAGGTAAATCAAGAAAGAGGAGAAATGCAACACAGAAAAGAGTAAATGCAGCATAGGAGAACAGCGAAAGGAGTCCAGTCTCATTCAGAATGAGAGCTATGTGGAGGCTTAGAGGGCAACTACTCCAGACTGTTAGGAGATGGGGTCTCCAGCGAGAAAGGGAAGAAATAGAAGAAAACAGAAGAAATGATTGAAAACAGAAATTTTAAAAAATTTGGTACACATAACTGAGACAAAGAATTTGATTTTCACATCTAATTTGACTTTCCCTTCAGTGGTGCTCTGATCATAACACTGAACCAATAGAGAAGGAAATTTAATTCGAACATACTACTCCATCCTATAGTAAACAGTACTTACAGAATTAAATAATATACACTCTTTCTTGGTCTCTAAGCTCAGAATCACTCCATAGACCAATTTTAGTAGTGTTTCAGAAAACAACATAAAATCTCGGAAAGAATACTATGATGTTGGCAACATACAAGTCACACTACATTTGTAGAACACTGAAAAGTAGAGGGAGGGAGAAATGGAAAGCAGGGCAGGTATGTAAATGCTCTCATGTGACAAAAAGAGAAGCCAAGAGATACTACCCCTGTTTATTTTTATAACGAATAGAGAATAAAGTATATTTAAAGGCAATCTTCCACCATTAGTAGGACAAGAAACGTAGGTATAAGTCAATGGTACATTTTGGAGCTGATGGAAAGAGAAATTGAGAATAGCATGAAAACACAGGGTACAGAGTAGCTGGAGGAGGGAAAGGTAGGATAAGTAAGATATCTTAGCAATAGGTCAGTAGTCAATAGCTAAAGTTGGTAACTGGAAAGATAAAGGATAAATATATTATTTAAAGATTTTGGGGGGCTAGAGAATAAATTAAGAACAGAAAAAATTACAAGTAGTTGCCTCTGAGGAGTAAGACGGTAGGAAGACGGGAGGAATGGCAGAGGAAAGTTCCTTTTAACTACAAATTCATTCATTTTTAACTTTTTATATATGTGATTTATTTCTAAGATAATCACATTAAATAGGAAATCTGATAGAATTTATATCAGAATTTTTCCTGTAGAGGTCAGCTATTTTTTTTTTTTTTAATTTTGACTGTTAAGGAATAATCTCCCTAGAAAAATTATTTCCTGAGGGTGCAGATAACTAAAATTTTATAGTACTGAAACTTTCTAGACTTACCATGTATTTATTTATTGGTTAAAACATATTTTGGAGGTGCCCATCACAAAGGGCCTACTTACACTTCAGCACTTGTTGTTAGTCTCTAAAAAATGTTGTGTGTTCTCATTTTTAACTGTCCTCTTAAGTATCCCCCATAGAAACAAATAAACAAATAGGATCGTATCTAGAGATCAGAGAAGTGAACTGTTCATGGGGTAACACTCTGCGTTAGGAAAATAATGGCCCTCTTTCTCCAAAGACGATCACATCCCCAGAATCTGTCAATGTGTCATATTATATGGAGATGTCTGAAAAAATGAAGAGCCTGAGAAGAAGAGGTTATCCTGGATTATCTGAGTAGGCCCAAAGTAATCACAAAGGCCCCTATAAACATAAGAGGGAGGCAGGAGAGTCAGAGAAGGAGATGTGATCAAAGAAGCTACGGTTGGGGTGATGAGATCTCTGGTCAGAGGCAGTAGTCAAGGTATGTGTGTTCCTTCTGGGAGCTGGAAAAGGTAAGAAAGCATATCCTCCCCTTAAACCTACAAGGGGAACACATTCTGCTGCAGCTTGATTTTAGCCCCATGAAACCTATTTTAGACTGATGACCTCTGGAAGTGGAAAGTAGTAAATTCATGTTATTTTAAGATACTACATTTGTAGTAAATTGTTATTAGCAGCAATGGCAATAGGAAACAACTAATACACACCCGATAATACACACCCGATAATACGTCTGTTTATTTATAGTGACTCATAAGGCATATGCAGAGCTTTGCTAAAACTTTGTAAATTACAACTAAATTCATGTTAATCATTTCCTGATATGCAGAGCTTTGCTAAAACTTTGTAAATTACAACTAAATTCATTTTAATCATTCCCTGCTGATTATAGTAATAGGTATTAGATTAAAAAAAAACTGTTAGATAACTGCAGGGGATATATATAGTATTTGAATGGAGACCTCTTTAAATTCCTATTAAAGGACTTATTTTGGTCCTGGTTCCATAATTAGCAAAGCCAATGCTTAATCAAGTAAGTACAGTTCTTTCTCATTAAAGTTGTACAAAAGTACATACAAGCCTCATCATTTATAAACAATATGCTCCTGGCCTGATGCAAATTTCAATTAATTTCTATAATGTTGCCAATGTTGGCTGATTCTTCTGCTTTGTTTTCATTCCAACATTCATAATTTATCTTTCTAAAATTGGGCTGGTATAACTTAACTGTGCACATTAATTTCTAAACAAGGAAAATGTCTGTGGTAATACAAAAGCTTTTTACAAACTGGGTTAATTTCAAAACTCCAGGGCAAAATGTTAGGGATTTCTGTCAAACAGTTGTGGTTTTGTTACTGTTAGTTTTTGTTTAAATACTATTTTTATTCTTTTGCTTCTAGTAGTTATACATTTCCAAAGTACCATAAATTTGCATTCAAAGATCAAGGAAAGCAAGCAATCTGTAAGAAGTCACTCCCAGAGTTCACAGCTAAGGTTTATCTAAATGGAAAAGTATTTTATGCCATAGAGAACATTTTTCTCTTGAATGGAACTAGTCCACACTGAGGTCTACCTCTAGTTTTGCAGAAAGAATAAAATTATCACCATAATTATAATTTATCGATACACATAAGAGATTATTCACTTTTAATGTATTAATGGCAATGGGTACTCAATTTTAGTTATGACTAGAACATTCTAAAACTCTATAACTACATTAGTTCAATGTTTTAAAGACCAGTAGTTCCGATCTTGGTCTTCCAATGAAAATTAAAAGGTGTTTTACAATATATCTAATGAAAATGAATATGTTCCTAAAATATTTTGAGTACCAAAATATGCAGTACCTTGTCCACTAAAATAGTTTCTAGCATAAAGCATCTGCTTTCCAAAACAATTCACACATATTTTGAAGTGGTTCATAAGAAATAAGTAATTATTATTATAGTTTTCATCCAAATCATAAACAGTGGACAATGTAAATAAATGTTTAGGACAGTTAGTTTTATGTGAGAAAGCTGTTTTGGGCAAGAAACATTCAGAAGAGAAGATAGAGCTTTGTAGGTCTTAACCGGCCAATCAAGAAAGTTAAAATTCTGGTGTGAGGGGTAGAACTGTTTAGGAATTAGAGAGATTTGAATACTATTAATAAACTAGCAAAGTTAAGGTACTGACCACATAAGAAGACAAGTTAGAATCAGAGAATTTTTAACAAAAATGATATATTACATTTAGGGGTTGGTATAAGGCAAATTCTCTATGCTTGCATAGATTTTTATCCCATGAAAAGTTATTACTATTTTAAAATAATCATAAGAAAAACAAAACAAGTGACTGAGCATCACCCATTTTGTCATGTATCTCTGCTAACATTCAAATGAGTAGTGGCTTCTTGGCTTCTCTCTGACTCAAAGTTTCACAGTATAACAAGATCCTAAGTAATGTACATTATTCACCACTAACTATATTGGATGAGATTACTATAAATCAAGTTGTACTAAGACTGGGAAGTATTTCTAAAAGAAGCACCATGGTCACATAATAGAAGCCTCTTATCATTTCCCCAAAATATATACATGTATATTCCTCTGAGAAGCTTCCCAATAAATGCTGATCAGGCCTGTGCCCTCCCTGAAAAATGAAATAACATCCTGTCTCACCGTATTACTCTTGGAAATAAAGCTGATCATGATTAATAGTAGAGCATAAAATATAATGGGAAATGCTTTTACCCCAATACTTCTAGCAGAGAAAGAATGATGGTCTTCTTGCCACAGAATGTATTCCACTTACCCTGCTGCTTTACTGCACATACTGGCTACATAACTTTCCCCAAACCTTTGGCTACCTTGCAGTGCATTATAGAATAGGCTAAGTGCATTCTGCACATGAACTATCCAGCTAAGGAAGAGACCAAAAACAAAATATACCCTCTCCAAAAGAACCATTAAAAAAATAATGTTAAATTTTCCCTATTTTCAAATCCTTAATTGATTTATTTGAGAGATTTTTGCTAAAGGGCATAAGTGCTCCCTGGAGAGACAGAGACAGAGAAAGTGGAAATCACCCCCAAGGGGGATGGCCACCACAATCCTTCTTCATTCTCCTCTCAGGATCTTAGGCACACATATACATGTGCCTGGAGTGAGTTTTAAGCCGCTGAATCTGGGCCTCGAACCATGGTTGACTAAACCATGGTCGACTACATGGGAGTCCAGTGACATAACCATTACACCATCTGCTGGTCCCCAGAAAAAAAATTTGTTTCAGAGTTTTTTGCTATAGGGCATGTGAGCTTGC